AACAACCGATCAATAGAACAAAGTCTTCGCCTTACATTTTTCTTTTTTCGGCAGTCAGTTTTACTTGGATTTACATCACAGTACAGAAGAAAATATCCATGGATACTTTAGTTTCATTTTGACATTAAAGCTTAGTAGTCCAATATAGTTATATCCTGCAAAGTAACTAACCATACACTGTCTCAGTCTTGGGCTGGTCTGGTGATTAAAGTGACTTCCCTCCCATTTCCGAGCCCTGATACTGTTACCATAGCAACACGGGTTTTTCAGAGTGGCAGAAGCGTGCGGAGAGGTGCCATTCTGGAAGGAGAGGAAGGGGTCAGTAGCTTGAGAAGTTGTTTCTTGGTGGTGGTTCTTCCCCAGGGAAGGAAGCAGCTTTGTGATAATCATCTTGTCAACGTGGCATTGCAGTGAGCAGCAAGACCTCTTGGGGTGGGAGTTTGTTTTGTATAAAAAAAAAAAAAAAAAGTACACACACACAAAATATATATTAATGTCAAAGGGGCCTTTCGCACCTCTTTAGTTCCAAAACTAAATGTACAGTACTAAATTACGGGGACGATTTTGCGCGAACTTACTATTTATACTATTTAAAGGGTTGCATTCGCACCGAGAGTGTGTACTAAGAAGTGACGTAAGCCGGTCGTCATGTGTGCGCGTCGTTCAACAACAGAAACAAAGAAAAACAACTTTAACAACAGGAGGATGGAGGACGCTGTGATCGGAGCTGTGTTTTTGTTGTGTCTCGCGGGTTTCACAATAATGGACATGGAAAGTCGACGTATACGTAAAGCGATTGAAAGAACGGAAAGGAGGACTAAGAATCTCCAACGACAACTGGCAGTGCTACATTTGCTACAAGTGCCTGCACTTCAGCGTCCGTCCATCTATCGCTGTTCTCCATACTTGCGAAATAAGTTGACACAATGTTTACAGTATGTTTACACGGCGTTTTAAATCATGGCGGGGGAGGGCGTTTTCATACGCGTTTGGCCAATCAATGTCTACTTACGTCACGATTAGTACCAGTTGTGCTGGTTAGACCCTGCTCCGGAGTAGGAGCTAATTTGGTTCTCGAAAAAGGCAGTCCGGTACTAAAATCGCTCCCAGTTCCGGCGGTGCGAACACGCCAAAAAGTGGGTAGTTCCACAATTAGTTCTGGTACTATGAAAAGGTTCCTGCGGTGCGAAAGGCCCTATTGTGTCACCCACTGTGTACTAGATCCTCTTGTGCTGAGAACAGTCTCTACTTCCTCTACTTTGTAAGGCTTTGTCCTGGTATCACACACAAAATCAGGTTTTTTTAGTTTTAAATTCATCTTAAAACCAAATGGAGACTGCTGACTTATTTCTGGAAGCCCACTGCCTTTTCAGAGCACCAACATTTGAAGGCTTTTTCTCTCTTCTTGGCTGTTTTTTTTTTTTTTAAGCTGCTTTTTTTGAAGGTATTTCTGTAATTGTATTCAATTTTGTGCAGCCCAATGCAGTTATGGTCTGAGTGAGTTTGGGTTTTGTCTTGGATTCTGTCTGACCTTGGGCGGCGCTGCTCGTTCTTCGCCCCCTCGGGGATCTTGTGTTATCAGGTTCAGATCTCAGATTTGCACCCTGGGTTATGCTCCTCTGAAAGATAGATAGCACACACTTAGAGAGAACTTAAATGCTTATGTCACTAACAGTTTCTGCCTTTTCCGTTCAGCCGTTCAGTTTTCTGAAACGTTCAGCCCATTTGGAGACAGCCGAAGTGTCTCTGTTATTCATTATTTTCATCAGTGCTTCAGAGACATAGCCAGGTTTATTTTTTGAAGGATTGTCCAAAACTGAGAAATGCTGAACCAAACCTTAAACGTTTTGCTTTCTAGTGTCTAGAAGATATCTTCTAATATGGCGTCCTATCTGAAAAGTGAGTTGAGATGCTCTACATATGTAGCACAAGAAGCTTAGTCTCCCATATAGCCAGACCTTTGATTAAACACTTCATATTGTTACTTATTTTGTCTGAGAACCATTGTTTCTTTGTGATTATATAAATCTGTTTTCTATCAATATTTTTCAATGCTATATTAAATTTCTGCCTTTCTTTTTAATGCTGAGATAGATGCAATGCATCGAGGCTGCTTTGTCTGTGATGATACATGCCATAGATCAAGTGTCTTATGAGGCAGCATAACTTTTCTCCATACTGTCTGGGTAGGCAGCTCAACTGGGGACACACTCTCGCAGTGTAGTCTTGCTGGAGCCCTTGTGTCTGTAGACAGAGTTGGGGTGAGGCCTGTTACAGTAAGGGTGAATTTAAATATAGACGTTTCCACACAGATAAATATAGACCCCCGCCGTACAGTAGGCTAACACACAGTGAGAAAATAGACCACAGAAGACTTGACGTGTTTTTACAGAAACATTACTCATGAGCAGGGCCCACAACCATTTTCCTCTTAAAATAAATCAGCTGCCATTTTGCCAGTCTTGCAAGACAAATTCATCAATGTTGGCAGCGCATTTAAATGTCAGACTTCTTAGTTCATTGAGTTTGTGCTTCATTGTCTATAAATATGGTTTAAAATACACCATGAAGTTACAATACTTTTCTGCTCTTTTTGCATTTCCAGAGAGTATTTATTTATTTGTATGTATTTTATGTGTGATACATTTTTTTGAGGATCAATATTTATAGAATTTTATTGATGCGAAATGGTTTAAATTCAAATAGTCACTGTCATAGTTAAAAACGGAATTCGAACAACTGAAATTGGAAGAGCACATATTGTATGTGTATATATAGAGAGGGGGGGGGTGTTTTTCATATTTGAGAAGAGATACTAACATGTTGCTGTTCAACAGACTTTTTTTTCTAAATACTTGAATATAAAAAAAACAACATTGCTGTTGTAGTAAAATGTAGTAAATTATGTGTCTTACACATATTAAATGGCTGTAAAAATAGGGAGGGTGAGCAGTGTTTCACAGCATATCTGATCTTTGAAGTTAAAAAGCAAGATGGGAAGGCTTTGAAGTGTATGTCGGGTTTTAGAGCTAGAGTTTGATGAGTCAGGCTTGAAGTCCTCATAAATCACATGTAAACACTCCAGTGCTTTTTTCTCTTTCCTTTCTTCCCCTTTGTAGGTCAGGGGACCGAAGTGCTGTTACCCTTTCCTGATATCCAGATATAGTGCTTTAAATCATGAGATATGTGTGTGTGTGTGTGTGTGTGTGTGTGTGTATGTATGTATGTATATGTGTGTGTGTGTGTGTACACATATATATATATATACATATATATATATATATATACATATATATATATATATACATACATATATATATACATATATATATATATATGTATGTGTGTGTGTGTTCATTGACTACAAATACTCCATTACTCATACTCTTTCTTGCTGTCCAAGAAGACCAGGATCCAACACTTTCTCTTCTTCTGTCTCTCCCAAGTTGGCTCACTGCTGATGGGTCTGACAGTGGTTGATTATCTGACAGTGGTTCATTGTCTCTTATTGACTTACTGTAGTCTGGGTAGACTGACTATTGTCTTTCTCTTATTGTTGGCGCTGTGATCCCATGATCTGATCACTGATCACTGCCACTGTTGCTCCTCTTCACATTTCAGAGCCTCCATTTCTCGTTTTAAGCATTTGTTTCATCAATATAAGGAATATTTTTGGCATTTCAGTTGTTGCCAGCATCTGTATTAAGTGTACTGTAAGTCACTTAGGATAAAAGCATCCGCTAAATGACTGCTTGCTTATTTAACTTTTGATTTATTTTAATCTTATAAAGATGTACAAGCACATATTTGAAACTAGATGTGGCCTGGGTCCCTCCATCATTGTACACAATCTATTTTTACATTTTAGATGACCTTTTCCATGATCTAACACTCATTTAGAGTTAATATTTAAAAACACTAATTATTTAATTAGTTATTTAATTATTAACACTGTTAAATCGTAATCATAAGCAAATCTCTAAATTAATATAAATTTATAATGTGTAATATGATATTGCAATGCCCTAAATTCACTTGTAGCATTTGTTTGTTTGTTCATTTTAGTCTATTTATATTTGTATTTTGGTGTTTATATTTATTGTATTAGTTTATAGTATATTCATTTTATATAATATTTATATTTATATTAATTTTTTAGTATTTTTCTTTCTTTCTTTCTTATTGCTAATTGGGTGTTGGCCATTAGGGTTGGGCCGATAGACGATGCCATCGTCCATCGCCGATGGCTGACAGACATCACGATGTTGAGCCGGCATCGTGATCTGTCCCGCCCTAGGCACTATGGCACTAGCAATGACAAGATCATAGGTTCAATTCCTAGGAAAAGCAAGATCTGATAAAAAAAAATAGCTACAATTGGATTTACAGTTGAGCTATTGTTTAATTCCTGTAGGTCAAACAGCAGCATGGCGCTAGCAAAGAAATGATTAAAAAAATGTGATACTTTGAATACAATGGAAGTCACTTTGTTTTAAAAGCATCTGCCAAATGCATAAATGTAAATATGCAAAGGTTTGCTCAATAGTATATACAGCCTTGCATTTACCACTTAAAATCCTGTTCACATGCGCAGATGTATATTTCTAGAGTTCTTGAATGCCTTGTGCTGTTTTAAACAGACACCTCATATATTTTAATTCAGTATTGACGTGTCAGTCTTGCTCCAGTTAAGACAGGATGAGTCCACTAACCCTTGCTTACCTGCTGCTCTGCTGATGTTATACAGGCCAGCGAACGCTCACGTCTCTGTAAGCAGGGAGTGGTGTGTGTTTTTTTTTCGGGGATGTGTGTTGTAGATAACTTTTTTAAATTGTTGTGGTATTTGTATGATTGCTGTCACTGTGGTTGAGAATGTGAGAGGAATTTCTCTTCTTGCTTTACGATACAGTTGCACATATGATTTCATATGCATGAAAATGGGGGTGTGAAAAATCTTTGTCACCCTGAGTGATATTTTCATCTCTCTCTTTCTTCCTCAGTGTTTGCTGTCTCAGCCAAAGTTCTGGGCAGTGGAAGTGACATCACTGTGCCTGAGGACTAAGCTGGAGAGAGGAAGCTCACGGAGAGTTGAACGTGCCATGATGCAAACACAGGTAAGAGACAGTTCAGAACCCACATGCACACTCATAATGTGTTCTTTGCCAGAAATATTCTCATAAAACATACAAATACAATAAGGATCAAAGTCTGTGTATTCCACAGTCTGCAACTATTCCACATGCTAGCTGATCTTTTAATAGACTTACAGTTGCATCTCCCTGTGGATCGTCAACCACTGCAATAGATTTTAATAGCACATGAGATGTATGAAAACACTTCTGAACAACTTTCAAGCCAATCTTTTTTTCATAACTACACTACTGTTCAAAGTTTTGGGGTGAGTGAAAGAAATTAATACTTTTATTTAGCAAGGATGCATTCCACTGGTCAAAATTGACCATAACATTTGTAATGCTACTGAAGATATTCAGATTCATTTCTATTTCTTTTGAACATTCTATTAATCAAAAATGATGGAAAAAATGTATCACAGTTTTCACAAAAATATTAAGCAGTACAACTGTTTTCACAGGAATAATTTACATTTGAAAACATATTAAAGGCTCTTATTAATCCTATTATGCTCTTTTACAAAGTCTTGATTTTGTTTTGGGGGTGTACTAGAACATGCTCTCATGCTTGGTGGTTCGAAAAACGCATTATTTTTCACATAGTTTACATTATTAATATACCTTTCTCCCCAGCCTGGCACAAACGGCTCGATTAGTTCCGGCTTTGATGAACTTCTTCATCGTCTCGTCTGATGCACTCAACCAAGCGTTCTAACCACAACCTCGCCCCTTTGTGGAAGCTGTCCTCAGTAAAATGTGCAGCACACAATAGCAAATTGGGGTTATAATGCTCAGGAACAGAGTTAAAAAATAAATTGCAACCACTGTTTCCTGACATCATCCGCTTTCGGAAGCCCAAACAAAGACGTTTGGCCACGGTGGTGAAAAAAACAGCGTTTCAGGCGGTCGCGCACTGGACGAGAAGCGTAGCGTCGCGTCGCACCACGTCTTTAAAATTCGAATACATTATTTTCTATGAGTGTAGGCATCTATGAGTGTAGGCATCGTTCGGCGTCTGTCCGCGGCGCCCAGCTACGTCGTGTTGTACTTGTAAGAATTGTTCTAGACATGCCGAAAATTTGACACTACAGCACAGCAGCTGCTCTTTGTTTTCTCTGATGCACTAACTCTGCAGCAGCACTTCTTCTTCATCGTCTCGTCTGATGCACTCACTCAACCAAGCGTTCTAACCACAACCTCGCCACTCCCCACCCCCCAACCATTCGAATTTCTGTAGGCGGGAATTATTTGTAATGATATTCCAATGAGCCGCTTTGTGATATCACAAAGCCCGGAAACCAACGCTGTAGTCCAAACGAGCCGTTCGTTGTAGTTCTTGAAAAGGGATTTTTAAAAAACGAAATATCTCCCTTTGGAGTGGACTTTGAGATTTGTAACTTTCTAGATCTTTTTTAAGCCCAAACATAAACACTACACACTGACTAAAATTAAAAAAAATGAAATATCTCCCTTTGGTGTGGACTTTGAGATTTGTAACTTTCTAGGTCTTTTTTATGCCCAAACATACACCCTACACACTGACTAAAATTTAAAAAGTGAAAAAGCATAATAGGACCCCTATACAGAACAGTAAAACCAAAGAAGTGCTGAAATGTTCTTTGTGTATTCTTGTGCATTTGTGTGTGTGTGGGGGGGTTAGGGAGGATTGGAGAATGGGATTTGTCACCCTGTGCTCTGGAGGAAACGGGACGGCCTGGCCCTTCTTGTCCTCTTGATCAAATTAAATTGTACGGCTTCCAATGACTTTCTGAGGAGCAGAAAGACTTGTCACATTGTCAAAGAAACTGGTTCATTTGTCCATTATTCCAGATTGGAATTTTTTTTATTTATTGTAATTTGTTCATTGTAGGACTGTGACACATTCTGTCCTCTGTGTAAATCCATTTGACCACACTGAGACATTATATAGCTGTTCAGAAGCATCTGTTCTGCTCTGAAAGGGATTTACTGCTCAGGTTATGGTTTAAGTTTATAGAGTCATCAGTCATATTTGAATGGCAGGGCTTCTTAAATGGTCATAAATTAAAATCTAGTCTAGTGAAAACACACCTGTCTGCCTAAATCTACTGTAGCGAGAGAGACAAATTATTATTATTATTATTATTATAAACAACTCTAGTGGGAAACACCAAATTATATTAATTATACATTAATAATTATACAATTATACATTTCAATCCATTTATATTATTATTATTAGTAGTAGTAGTAGTACTAGTAGTTTTTATTTTACTTATTGTTACTGTTATTGTTATTAGCACTGTCTGCTGCTGACAAAACACAGATAAAGAAGTGTTGCAGTAGTTAAACTTTGTCCTTTTGCTGTGGCTGATGATGACATCCCTCTTTTTGAGCTCAAGTGATGCCCATAGACATGACCATGAGTGCTGAAGTTGATCATCAGTTAAGAGCCTATATAGAGACACTTCCTGTATGAACATATGACTGATGCAAGGTTATTAGTGAGCAGAGTTCGGTGTGACACATTGCTCTCTACTTTTTTTTTTTGCTTTTTTCCTTTCTTTAAATTTTAAGTGTTTAAGCTGCTCTCTGACATCCCAAAACTCAATGTGACAGATCGTTAGGGGAGGCTGACTCTATGAGGCCACCCTGAGGGGCCAGTTTGAGTCCGACAGGAGATCACAGCAAGTCACACAAACACCTGTCCATCACAGAGTTAGAGGAACATGGTTCCAGGCGAGTTCAGTCCCAGCTGAGCAGGACCCCGGAACAATGGCGAGAGAGTGACCGCGCACTCTCAGATGAGTGAAGAAGGACCAAACACTTTTAACAAAGTTAAAAAGATGAGGGAGAGAGAGGAAAATGTTGAAGAAAGTCAGCTAGCACTTTGTTGAAGTTCAAATCCACATACAGTTTACATACCTCTCTTTTCTCAAACGTTTGCATGCCCTTTAGCCAAGTATGGAATGTGTTTAGCTCTTTTTTAATAAGAGTGATTTCAATTTGAAAAATAAGATCATAAAAATTGTTTCAGTACTGCCCTGAAGAAGCTATATTAAAGATGTTAGCATATATTCTTTCTACAAGATTATAATAACTTGATTTGTACAAATTGCGCCCTACGAAAGTTTACATAGCTTTGTTCTTAATATTGTGTTGCCTTAAGCATCGGCGACTGTTTGCAGTCATTTTGTTTAGATTCTGATGAAACTGTAAATGTTTCTAATTTTGTGGTGATGGTGGCGCTATAGAGTTTGACTTACAAACTCCTTGATGGATAAAGGCATTTTTCAGGCAATTTTATTGCATGTTTAGCAGTTTGGATTCCTTTTAATGAAATGAATCATCTACTTGTCTGCTGACACAAGCCTCCGTTAATGGCTGAAATTCTTGTTCTTGATTGAGGAACATACTGAATATTTTTACACAATCATTCATAAATACTCATCAACTTCACAGATAATGTAATCAATCCAGAAAGATTTTTGTTTCCATCCTGAACAGTCGTGACATTCTGTGAATATTGCAGAGACTCTTATCTCCTCTGTCTCGCTGCGGTTCGAGTTTCACTGCGGTACTTGACAAACTTAATTTCCTCTGCCTCCTCTGGCCTTTCTTCTGAGATCAAGAGTACAGAGTATGTATTCAGAAATGGCAGAGAGGCACTCCGCCTATGTGCTCTGCATTTTTCTCACAGTTTAGAGCCGCCGGTATCTAGGCCACGGAGTGGGCCAGAACTTCAGAAAACTTTTTATTCCCATTGTATATTCAGAATGGCAGAGTCTGGTGCATTGTTGGATTAGAGGCGCTCTTTGTGACTGCACAATTTGCATGTGCGGGGCTTACACCACACGCTATCGACTGCCACCCTCTTATTTTTCATTTACTCCGATCAGGCACTGGATGAAGTAGATTTCTCTGAACGTAAAATTCAATTTCAGTGCTTAATCAATAATATCCCTGAAATAGAAGTTGGAAGCTTGGGTCTTTGATATGGATTTAGGCTTCTCATGGCAACGTTGAAAAAAAAAAAAAAAAAGAGATTTCATTGCGTATTTTTGGAGCAGAAAAACAGTTTTGTCTTGAAGTAATTCACTTATAATTTTCATCATCTTAATTAATTTTAGCTTCCTTTTTCCTCAGTGAACCAGCCCAGTTTTAAACTAAACTTACATGAAAGTCTGTTCTTCTGTTTAGTTTGACTATGATCAGGAATTGTCCAGTGTACCTCCCAAAATATATGTTATGTTACATCATATTTGATATGATACATGATATGTTATGTTATATGTTATGTTATGTGTTATGTTTTGTTGTTTTGTTACGTTATGTTTTGTTATGTTTTATGTTATGTTATGTTATATGTTATGTTATATTGTTGTATACACTAGCATATGGATGATCTCAGAGCTACACAGACATGAACCAGAAAGCCTCATAACTCTACTTTTGATTTTAGTTAGATCTTTAAAAAGTACTACTAGCCTAGTTTTACTAATACAAATTGCTAAAGCAGTTATGGTTCTTCTACTTTAATGCTAGATTGCATTTAAATTGCTGTGAATGAATTTTGAGTTTCCATAGGGGCTATTCTTTTCCTGCTCTCTTAAAGTATGCTGAGTCATGAAGTGTGCTCAGTGATGTCATTTCCTCCTGCCGCTGTATTTGGCTCTTGGAGTTCCTCCATGGAAAGGTTTACATGTAATCCAAACTAAACTGCCAAATTGTCAACTGTGGGGGAGTTTCCTTTGCCCCATTTTGTAAAAGGCGTGAGCAGAGAGAGCTCAAGTATAACTTTGTTAGTCATTGCAATGTCATTTTTTAGTTTTCCGTCACATAAAATCAATGGAAGATGTATACCTAAATCTGTACCTTTATCCACAGTTTCAGTGGCATGTTTCAATAACTCTGTTAGTTATTACTGTGTTTCAGTTTTCAGGCACTGTTTGCATGCGGTGCATTACTTATTTTGACTGACAACTGATTAATAGTTTTATAAGTCCTCAAAGATGCTTTTTAGTTGATTGTTTGTTCTTTAATAAAAGAAATACTGGGTACACCTTAAAAGCACACTCTTGGATTTTAGATTCAAATGTACGGCCTCGCTGCGTTCCCACGGCTCTCGGCCCCGCCCCTCTCGTCACAGTAATTTATATATTTTAATAATATTTGTATATCTTCTTAGATATCAAATAACAGCATATTGGCTTAAAACATCTTGATGTAAAATAAATATTTTTCATTTGAGAGTGAAATATTTATTTCAAATATTTTAATTTTCAAAGCTACATCAGATGATATGTGCACAAAAATTGTTAAAAAAATTATTGTAATGCTTAAAGATGATGCACTGTCTAATAGACATCGCGGTGATATGCGTGTGTTTACTGGGCGGTCGTGGTGCTCTTCCACATCGGAATTCATTTCTCAGCTGCTCCCTCAACCCTTCCTGATCGGTAGATTAGCACTTATATATCTGAGGCATTTTCCAGCCATGGAAATGCTAAGTAATTAGTTATCTGCTACCCGCAGATGAGCTTTGCCATCCTCCATAGAAACTGATCGTGTCTCCTCAGTCGGAAGTTTTATTTCCAGATGAATTTCTTCCGAAGTGAACCCCCAACTGGAGCTGGAAAATTACCTCTTTATTCATTTTCTGGAATATGTAGCGTTTCTTTTCTTTTGCTTGATTTTGAAATGTTCTGGAACTCAAATGTTGCAGACATCAGTTCCACATGAAGTTATTTACAGCATCCTGGGGGGGAGATATTCAAGCTGGTACAGTATGGCACAATTTTCCTGTCTTCTCTTCATTTTAGTTCTGCTTGCAGTCCATATGTTCATAATGATTGACAGTTGGGGGTGTCAATCAAAAATTTGTAGGGTAATGACCAAAAACAACATTTTGTGCTCTCTCTGTTATTTTCAGGAAACGATGCTTCTAATTTGTGTTTGTGGCCTTGTTTGCATGTCGTACGCAGCTGCGTTGTGTTATTGTGTTTTGTCTTACTGCTTTTTGAAATGTTGAAATATGGTTTGTGAACAGAATGAGTGTTGATCTTTTTACTAGAGTCTCAAACAGCAGGCCTGCACATGCTTTAACTGAGTTTACGCAGCAGTCAAACCCTGTAGCGTTTCTCCATGGAGAGCAGAGAGGGATCTCATAAAAAAATTTAATAAAGATGCTGTCATTTTGGCATGTGCTGGCACATCTATTTGTTATTGCCGTCATTCTTGGAATTTGTAATTTTTTTTATTTTATGCATCTCAGTCACTTTTTTCCATCTTCTTGTTACTGATTGGAAAATATATTTAGGTCTTAATGTGAATGGTTGAGTCACTGGAATAGTTTTTAAATTGTTTGCACCGCAATGCATTTTATTTGCTTAGGGGTGTTTTTAACATTATCACATATCACCAAACCTTAAGCGCATTAAAATGCTCTTTATATTACCGTCTTTGTGTTCCACGGAGGTCTGTAATACTTGGAGAGAGCTGCTCGGCTGTTGTTTCTCCGGTAGTTCATGATTTGAAATCCTTGCTCATGGCTGCTCAGTTCTATGGACTACCTTGTTTTCTTGTAGCGAATTCTGAGGAAAATCTGCGTTATTTCACCATAATCGCAATGGCAGAAGAGAAAAATGTCATTAGAGAAAGCAGCAATGGTTGAAAAATGAGACTGGAAGTGTTCTAAACGTCACTTTGTTCTCTTTCAGACCTTGGTGGATTTCTTTAGTGAGAACTGTCCCGTCACTGAGAGACTCAAGATGTTCTACACCTGCCGGGCACCTCCTCTCTGGGACCTACAGGTGAACTGAATTCCTGTTTGTTTATATAAATCTTCTGGTTTCTCAAAATGATCATGCTTTAGAAACACGCATGTTCTTAAAACTCTGCCCTTTTATGGCATGCACACACATTTAACTAGGGATTATCTAAATGGAGGCTTTCCATAAAACCTACAAATGAATGAATGAGTGAATGAACGCTTAAACGAAACCGTGTGTAGCTGATCATGATCTGTGTGTGCTTAAAATGCATAAAATAACTTTGGTCTGGGAACCCATTTTACCCTTGATTGAGTTTTTTTTTTTTTTTCTCAACCTTCATTATGTCTGAATTTATGTAGGGAATAATTCACATATTATAAAGCCAGATTACCTGAGTTAATTTGAAACGGAAATTATTGACTCATTTGTTGGTGCCTAAATTGATTAGCTTGCATATTTTCTGTCATTACCAGACGCACAAGTGCATTGAGCTAATCACCTCAAATGAGCGTAGGCAGCCGTTACTTATCGATCTACTTCTCAGAAACCCATTTCTGTAAACACAACAGCTGGGTTATACAGCCAGTGTCGTGTCAAAAAGAACTTTGGCAGATAGAATATGAAATTAATTTCCCGTACACGGTGAGGGCATCCAGGAATATGAGACGACGAGTTCATTTTGACAGTGTTTGTCAGGTAATAGAGCAACATTTAACTCTCCGTTCCTGCTTGATTGGGCAATAATGCAACTAATGCGAAGCAAACAAATGTTTTCTGAAAAGAGAGGTTGTTAAACAAGTGAATAAACAAGAAAAAAAAAGAAAAAAAGATGTATGGAGGAGAACGGCAAATTGTAACAGGTCAGCATGGATGAAGGGTTGCGAAAGAAAAGGAGTGAAATAACTGAATAGAAAAAGAGAGTGAGTGGAGGGAGGGATGGATAGATAGATAGATGAAAAGAAGGGATGATTGATGTGATCAGTCTTGTGGATGACATTGCTCACGCTCTGTGTAATAACAGTGAACAGCAATAAAGCTGGAATTGAAGTCGCTTCTATTGCTGGCAGGGGAATAGAATGCTGCAAAACTGCTAGCGAGAGAGAGAGAGAGAGAGACAAGAGCAGCATGCAGCCAGAGAAAAGTGTGTGTTTCTGTAGGGTAAAGAGACGGCAGAGCGTTGGAGGGCATAAAGAGTTTTTTTGTTAGTTTTTTTGGGAACAGATTTCAGAAATTGTTGGATTTGCTTTCAGACTGAATCATTTTGGCATGTGTATGAATCATAAAAGCGTTCACTGTGGCGGTTTTGTTGGAGATGAAATGAATGAGGAAATGAAAAGATAGAAAAGTTGCACAAATGGGCTCCCCAAAGCCTTTTTTTCTCTGTCACTTTTACTTTTATTCTCTCTCTGTATGTCACTTTTTCAAATTTAGTGTTTTATTGTCAAGACAAAAACTGTGCATTTGTATTTGCTGTCGTAAAATTTGAAATTGAAAGATAAATTAAAATAGCAGTGTGAATAAAATAAAATAGCAGTAGTTCAAAGTAAAATAAAATGTAAATAATTTAATCTGTAGTAGCAGTAGTACCTTATTAAATGGAAAGTAGATATTCGATAAAAAAGTTATATATATATCAAAATATAATGTGTGTGTGTAACTATATATATATATATATATAGTTATATATATAAAAGTTATTTTTCATATTGAAACTGTTGAAAATACACAACATAGACATACACATATGACAGCCTCTGAACTTGGTCAATACTAATCTAAAAATACATTCAATCAGTCATAGCTCCAATACGGCTCTGTGTATTAAATGCCGCTTCATTTGAAAGCACGTGATGGAGATTTACTATTCACAGAACCGGCTTTACTGACGAGATGCGCATTGTATGTGTGTGTGTGTGTTCTTAGTTTAATGTGTAGTTTAAAGTAAAGGTGTTTAATTGTCATGGGTAGATAAAATGAAACGGAGTACTACAATTAACATTTAAAAATAAATTATATATTAAAACATGTAACATTAATTGAACAAATAAGAAATAAACTTAAGATGAATAAAGAAAAATAAGACCGAAAGTATTTATACTGAGCAGAGCTGTGTGTGTGTGTGTGTTTCTCTCTCTTTCTCTGAATTAGTTAGTAGCATCATGTTTTGTCTCCTGGCTGATAGGTCACATGATCATGTCTGTGGGACGTGATATGCCATTGAAGGCGGGTGAGGAGGAGGGGGGAGGTTTGTCATAGGACCGAAAGGTGAAGGAGAAATTGAGCAGGAATTGAGCATTTCCTGTCGCTGCACCGCTTGCAGCTACGTGTCTGTGATGTCTCGCTGATATTCAAGGTCGAGGGTGATGTTGGTTCAGTGTGATTTATACTCTCCACAAATACAGCAGATTTATACATCAGCATCAAAAACTTCAGTAGATGATCTCCAGTGGGGGCGGAGCACATCTCAGTATATTTATTATCAGAAATACACGGACTTACAGTGGACACAGCCTACGACTCTTCATCCTTTTTGGCACTTCATCCATCTGTTCTTAAATGATCTGTGAATGACAGAAAGAGTGTAAACACACGTTTAACCAGTAGCATTCATCAGAGACAGACGAGGGTCATTAATAGCACATATGTATATATAGCTCTGACTGTGAAGTATGACATTGTGGAGATAGATGGCCGTCCGCGGAATGCATCCTTTCAGAAAGAGGGTGAGAGAGAGAGAAAACGGACAGAGAAAATGAGAGGGGGAGTGGGGGCAGTGTATATCCTTGGTAAGGTGTAGAGAAGTGTAGGTGACTTCTAGAGGGATCTTTTATTTTATTTTAGTTTCATTTCATTTCATTTAAGGTGTTTTGTTTAAAACACTGTCCAATTATTTCATAACTTTTTTAAATGAAAATTGTCATGTAACCACTCTTAATGCCACTCTAAACTCGTCACTTTTTTCTAAAATAGATAACTAATACAATCAAACTACATTAGTTTATCAGTAATCCTAAAAAAATAACACTGAGCTACACTTTTTTCTGTGAAACAAAATGTAAAAACTGCTCTTTTGCATATAATATACACTACTCACAAAAAGTTAGGGATATTCGACTTTCGGGTGAAATTTCAGAATGCACCTAAAATGCACTATAACCTTTACAGGTGAACTTAATTTGACCTTCTCTAAACTTTTGAATGCGCATGTCCAACTATTAAATGTTTCAGTACTTATTGCATAACATGCTATTCTCTAACAAGGTGATTAACTGCAAAAATCACAACAAGTGTTTTTCTGATCAAGTCTGATCCATGAATCGACCACTAAATGTTCTGGTTCACTGACAATTTGTATTTAAACAGTCCTCTTCATCATGCTGTTCACATTTTGACATCATGAGACCAAGACGACACCTAACAATTGATCAACGAGGTTTCAAATGGGATGTTCTCAGAGGGAAGTTGCCACTGAGCTTAGAGTGTCACAGAGTGTCATCAGCAGGTTGCAACAGAGACATAGAGAGACTGGAAGAGTCACAGAAAGTCATAGAAGTGGACGTCCTTTGGCCACATCCCATGCTGGTGACCGCTTCATTGTGAACAGTGCCCTGCGGAACCGGGTGTTGAATGCCACTCAACTCCAGGCACACTTAAGGGAGGTAAGAGGCATCCGAGTGTCATGTCAGACCATTCGAAACCGCTTACATCAGCATGGTCTGCGTGCTAGATGACCTGCAAGGGTACCTGACCACACCACCAGGCACAGGCATCATCGTCTTGCATGGGCCAGGGAGCATTTGTGCTGGATGAGGAGCCAAAAACTGCTCTTTTGCATATAATATACACTACTCACAAAAAGTTAGGGATATTCGACTTTCGGGTGAAATTTCAGAATGCACCTAAAATGCACTATAACCTTTACAGGTGAACTTAATTTGACCTTCTCTAAACTTTTGAATGCGCATGTCCAACTATTAAATGTTTCAGTACTTATTGCATAACATGCTATTCTCTAACAAGGTGATTAACTGCAAAAATCACAACAAGTGTTTTTCTGATCAAGTCTGATCCATGAATCGACCACTAAATGTTCTGGTTCAATGACAGTTTGTATTTAAACAGTCCTCTTCATCATGCTGTTCTGCGTGCTAGATGACCTGCAAGGGTACCTGACCACACCACCAGGCACAGGCATCATCGTCTTGCATGGGCCAGGGAGCATTTGTGCTGGATGAGGAGCCAGTGGGCCTCAGTGCTGTTCTCTGATGAAAGTTGGTTATCATTAAGCAGAAATGATGGCTGCCAAAGCTGTTGGAGTCATCCAGGAGAACGCTATGCATCAGCCACTGTTGTCACCAGACGAGCCTGTCTGGACAGGTGTGTCTAGTGAATACAGAACTGCCCTACACCTTGTGAATGGTACTGTGACAAGCCAATACTACCATCATATATATATTATTATTCCAGTCATTGTGCCTCTGCATGAGCAACACGGGCCTGATTTCATCTTCATGGATGACAGTGCCCCAGCTCATCAAGGTTGCATCATCAGGGAACGGCTGCTGGAGGCTGGGGTACCTCAAATGGAGTGGCCTAGTGCTGTTCTCTGATGAAAGTCGATTCACATTGAGCAGAAATTATGGCGGCCAATGCTGTTGGAGATGTCAAGGAGAACGCTATGCATCAGCCACTGTTGTCACCAGATGCTGTTACAGTCTGGGCAGGTGTGTCTAGTCAATACAGAACTGCCCTACACCTTGTGAATGGTACTGTGACAAGCCAATACTACCATCATATATATATTATTATTCCAGTCATTGTGCCTCTGCATGAGCAACACGGGCCTGATTTCATCTTCATGGATGACAGTGCCCCAGCTCATCAAGGTTGCATCATCAGGGAACGGCTGCTGGAGGCTGGGGTACCTCAAATGGAGTGGCCTGCACTTTCTCCAGACCTGAATCCCATAGAAAACCTATGGGATCAGTTGAGTCATTGTGTAGAGGGTCGTAACCCTGCACCCCAGGACCTCAATGACCTAAGGGCAGCCCTTCAAGAAGAGTGGAATGCCATGGCTCGGCAGACAATAAGTCGACTTGTGAACAGCATGAGATGTCGTTGTCAAGCTGTAATTGATACTCAAGGACACATGACAAGTTATTGAGACATTGACATTTTTTGTTGTGGTATACCCACCACTGTTGTTAGCTTTTGTTTCAATAAATTGTTTGAAATGAAGAATTTACCATTGCATGTTTCTACTTAAATGCCCTACTTTCATGATATAATATCACTGTAGCATGAACTTTTTACATTTTCCATAAATTTCACCCGAAAGTCGAATATCCCTAACTTTTTGTGAGTAGTATATATACTTTTAGAAGTAAATTCATTTTAAAAATTCAGGTAATGTATCAAATAATGTATCTCTCAACAATGTATCTTAAATAATGTATCCCAGGTCGTGATTTGAACCCGATTCACGCTAAATAAAAATAAATCTGTAAAAAATTAATTAATTAATGTAACGTAATGTAATATGTGCTTTCAGATAGGTCACAAAGTGAGCCAGGAGGGGGTAACTGCTTCTGTTGCACCCTCAAATAAAATAGCTTAATGACGCCCCTGGTAATATCTGTAAAGTGCCAAAATAAAGTACCAAAATAAACCAAAGTGAACTGCAAATCACTGAATGCAGTCGGTTTATTTTTGATATTTTTGGCTCTGTACATGCTAAATATATATTTTTGAGTGCCTCCCACATACTGTGTGTATTTAGAGGAAGGTGGGCCATGTTGACTGATCTTGGCTCGCTGTTTGTATGTATGTGTGTGTTTAGAGGCAGTTGGCGAGTCTGTTGACTGATTTGGGCCTGACGAGTTCTGCGCTGCTAATCTACGAACGACTGGAACTCTGGGAGGATGCAGTTGTCTGCCTGGAGAGGATGGGACAGCACGGCAAGGTACGCTACTCACATATGTTTTGTTAAAGAAAACTTCAAACCAGTTAAGTATCAGTTTAAATGAATAGTACTTCCCTAAATTCATGCCATTGGTTGAGCCAGTGTTGCTGTCGGGTTGGACGATATGTTCAAACAAACAGATCATTGTTTTGATAGTCTTACAGTGTTTACTCTTCAGGGAAATCGACCTACAAATGACTTGCTCATAGTAGTCTCTGCATATTAAGTTGGGATAAGAGAAAGTGACTTCTGTTTAAGATCTTGAAGAGGGATTGATTGCTACTTTTACCTCTTGCCATATCTATCTCGTCCCTTTATCCTCTCTATCTCTCCTCCTGCTCTCTTCTTCTTTCCTTTCTATATGAGCTCCTGTCAGCATGCTCTAACAACACATCTCTCTCGCTGTGTGTGTTAGTGCAGATTTCTGGGAGCCATTTCACAGCTTTATTAAGTTACCGTCCTCTTTGTGTGCCAATCAGATTATAGGGTACATCTGAGGTCAATAAAACCAGCCAATCACCCCCAATCTGAGCTGTAATATTATAAAAATGTACTGACATCCACTCCACTGTACCTGATATACTGACTCTCACTTTCTTTCTCTCCCTGTTTCCCTCTATCTACTTTTCCCTGCACTCTTATTAAAGCTTAAAGCCATAAACTGCAGGTATGCGTAGAAAAGAAAGTAAAAGACAAAATACTGAGACGGGCGAAAGGGAGTGATGCTTCATATGAAAGGAAAGAAATTAGAAAATCTGTGAAATATGTGAAGCAGAGAGAAAGTGAGGTGAGAAAACGGTGCATACACAAATCAGCAAGACTGGAATGGGAAGAAATGTTTTGTGTTGCTTTGAGTTTTGCTGATGGATTAATCCATGATATTCTGTGTTCGTTTAATGAGTGAACATCTTCAGAGCACGAGGGATGTGTACTGATGTTTATTTGATTTGAGTTCAATTTATTGTCCCATGAAAGCTCGCATCAGTTATTGCAGATTACTGTTGGAATTTACTGTGTAAAAGCTCTTTCCATTAATACTTTGGTATCCCACTACTTTTACTTTATTTTACATTACATTATTATTATCATTTTACCTTTTTATTTAGTATTTAAGACAGTAAATCCAATTCTTTTGCAGTGATTGCTGTCAGATGACTATTATCTCATGTGAAATTGTAGTACAACATTTTTTTTTTTTTTACTAATTTGACGTTTTTGCAATTTTTGTAAAAATTATTTTATAAATTGTCTATTTAATTGATAATGGGATTGCAAAAAATCCAGATCTCATATGAACAGAAGATAAAGCAGCTATATATAATATATATAAAATGTAGTTTGACCTCCTGATGTTGAAGATTAATATTTTACAAAGGTGAAGGTTTTGTTTTCATGACCTTTTATTGAAAACATTTTTCCCCCCAGGCCTTTAGTTTTCCCTATTCCGTAGAAAGTGCATTTGTCATTCCAAGTTAAGAAAACAGTTGGTAACAAAACACTTTACATTAGAACTAAAGGTTTACTGCTTTAACTAAAGGATTTGGGGTTTCTTGCAGTTAAGTCCAGATAATTTACCATAGTAAACATACTTCCTGGCACCAGAATTTTTCAGTTTCCTTTCTAAAATTTCCAAACTGTTATTAGCATTGAAACTGATAACCTATCCCCCGATTAGCATCCATTTGTGTTGTTGGCAGTCATGAGATCCATCAGAGGAAACCTGACTGGGCTACACAAACCTTGGTCGGCTCCAATGGCACCTTGTTGTTTGTAGGCAATGTGAAATGTGCAGTTTATAACGGCCACGAGGAACAAAGGAGCATTCAGGTGCTGTCAAACCACGGGGTTCTCTTTCTCTCCTGTATTACCTTCTCTTATCGGTGTTGTTCTTATAGAACAGAAATTACTTTTTTTTTTTTTACCCGAGTAAATAGCTTATTCATCCTGTGTCTGGGCCTTCAGGTTTTGAGCTTTCTTTTTTTATGTAACAACTCTGTCGAGTACGAAGAGATATTGTTCCCACTTCTCAAATTATGTGTACCCACGAAAATAAATAAGCACCCAAATAGAAGTGCTGGGCAAGCACTGAGAATTTTTTTGCCGCCCACCCCTTCTCTCCCACTACGACTTTAGTTCTGAGCGTTTGCAAAAAGCCAATTATCCATCCGTTCCCATGAATACCAGCAAGGGTGGAAGGGCAGGAGGCGATGAGAGATGCACTGTAATATAGCCCAGCATCCAGTGTATTTCAGAGTGAAGCCACATTCACAGTGATTGTAAGGAGTATGTGTTAATGGCAGCAGAATTTCGCCAGCTAGATTTAAACAAAGAGTTCATGGGCTTTTACATTTAGAGAAGCTGTTCTTGGCTGTAGCGTAGTACTGGTGAGCCCTACCATGTCAAGTTCTCATGTTCATAAGGGTTTGTGGCCACACATACTGAAGATGTGTTGGTCCTTGTTTCTCATGTTAGAGATGAAGGTTTTAGTCTGACTCAGTCCTGTTTTCAACCCCTCTCCCAAAATAGTTTCCTGTCTTCTCTGTTCTGTACCAAGAACTGATGTTTCTTGTTTGAAATTTTATTTGGGATCTTTGTGGCTTTTATCTACTTAATTTTGACTTCTTTTAAATGTTTATTGCTAGAAAACACTACTCATTTATCAAATCAATATTTAGACAATTTAAATATTGCAGAGTTGGCAAAAAACTGCAAACCTCATTTGAAAATAATCTACTAATCTTATTTTTATTTTTTATTTTATGTATGTATTTATTTATTTGCTTTTTGCGTAGTTTTGTTAAATTTTTAATTTCAGTTTTATTGATTTTGGACCCTTGCTGTTTCTATAAGTGATTTTTTTTTTCTTTAGGAATCGTTTTAGTAGTGTGGTTTTTAATAATATAAAAATAATGTAACAGCATACCTATGTCATTAGTTTAATCCCTACTACGCACTATATGGCCAAAAATATGTGGACATCCACACACCACACCCAATTTCAAAACCATTGGCATTAATCAAGAGTTGGTCCTCTTTTACAGCTTTCATTCTTCTGTAAAGATTTTACAGTAGTTTTTAGGAAAGTCGCTCCTATTCGGACACAATTATCTGAATGATCCAATTCATCCCAAAGGTGTTCAGTGGGGTTTAGGTCCAGCTTTGTGCAGGACAGTCCAGTTCTTTCAAGCAAGGATTGAGTACATTTCTTTGCATGTCATTCTGGATTAAAAAAGACCCTCCCGAAACAAAGTTTCAGCACATAATTCCCTAGAATGTTTTTATATAGTGGCATATTAACTGGAATTAAGGGGCCTAGACAAACCCAATATTAAAAAAAAAAAAAAAAAAAAACGTCTCCACATACTTCAGGCCATGTGCATATTTTCCAATATGAGGATTAAAACTGTCAAAGTTTGTTTCAATCTGGTGGTACCTTCTTTTCTCTCAGGCAGAGGACATTTTGAGGCGTGAGCTGGAGAAAAAGGAGACGCCATCACTTTACTGTCTGTTAGGTGACGTGCTGAAGGATCCAGAGTATTATGACCGAGCATGGGAGCTTTCCAAACACCGCAGTGCACGTGCTCAAAGGTCCAAAGCTCTGCATCATCTGCGCCACAAAGAATTCCAGCAGTGCGTGGAATGTTTCGAACGCTCGCTGCGAATCAACTCCATGCAGGTATGCCGTGCACTTGTGCGTAGCTTTATGGTCCTTACCCAAGCATCCTGTAAATGCTGATAGACATTAACCACCCATACCCCTTTATTACTGAAATGATTTAGGTGTATGCAGGGTATTCTACAAACTTTTGTCTGTACTGGCCAGTGTTCCTTTGACTTGAGAGCCGAATGATGGCATTACTGTTGCAACATGAATAAAAAAAAATATTTGTAAAAGTTTTAAAAGCATCATACATCCCATTTACATCCAGTGTCATTTAACTGTGTGATTACAGTCATAGCCTGCTTTTGATGCAACTATCAAAAATCAGTTCACATGTGGTATTTGAAAATAATTTGATAGCATTTTATTTTAAATGGACAGGGGTAATAAAATGGTTGTAGTTTGAGTATTATATTACGAGAACATCTTTTAACTTTCATAGTAATTTGATTCAGTATTTTTATGGTGCTTCTACAATAATGGTCAACCATTATTTAATACAATGAATAGCCATGAAATTCACATGATATCTGTAAATATAATTGTATTTTATATGAATGGGCAATAAAGTTGCTGGAGCTGCTGTGCAACCCAACACTTTTATATAGAAACAAGATTGTAGTTGTAAACAGTGTAATGGGAGCGGGACACATGCCCAACAGTCTAAAATATCAATCATTTTTATGTAGAAAATAATAGAAAAGCAACACAGTGGAATGCAAAAATGCATTCAGTGTGAACGAACCCTTAGTCTCTACAAACTTGAGTATTAAATTACGAGAACATCTTTTAACTTTCATAGTAATTTGATTCAGTATTTTTATGGTGCTTCTACAATAATGGTCAACCATTATTTAATACAATGAATAGCCATGAAATTCACATGATATCTGTAAATATAATTGTATTTTATATGAACGGGCAATAAAGTTGCTGGAGCTGCTGTGCAACCCAACACTTTTATATAGAAACAAGATTGTAGTTGTAAACAGTGTAATGGGAGCGGGACACATGCCCAACAGTCTAAAATATCAATCATTTTTATGTAGAAAATAATAGAAAAGCAACACAGTGGAATGCAAAAATGCATTCAGTGTGAACGAACCCTTAGTCTCTACAAACACAGTGTTTGTGAACTTACGTTTTCATGTTCACCACACATGCACAAGCTCTAGAAGATCACAAGGATGGATGCACTGTATCGAGAAGATTGGCAGAGTGCTGACAGAGAACATGAGAAACACTGAAGTACAGTGGAAAACAGCGAGACAGCAGTGTGTGGATGAAGTGGCATCAGGTTCATTCACCACAGAACCAAAAAAGTGCACAGCTACCCCCCCCCACTCATTTTTCATTCCTCCCTTCATCCATAATGCAGAAGCACAGGCAGCAAGAAGACAGAGTAATTTTCCTGAGGGACTCATTGATGACCCTAGCTTGATCTTTAACACCTCCTCGCAGTGCTGCCGCAGGGCCTGGCCGAGCTAATGCTGCCTTTAGGCCTAGAACTGGAAGTAAAGACGGACGAGTGCCAGAGAGATACAAAGATGAGCACTCGGGAAAAGAAACTGATTTAAAACATATGAAAGAGACTGATTTCTTGAGGTTCATGGGTTCAAAAGACATCATTAATTTTTAGGGCCGAATAACACCTTTAAAAGACGAGTGAAGCACTTGAAGTCTCCCCAGTTTTCTTTTTGCCCTCGTCAGTAATACTCCATCATTCTCACGCTCTCTTCTCCGTCTTTTATCTCCACAGTTGGGTGTGTGGTTCTCTCTGGGCTGTGCGTATTTTGCACTGGAAGGCTACGAAGGGGCCGCCAAAGCTTTTCAGAGATGCGTTGGACTGGAACCAGATGTAAGTCACACGGTCCTTGTAAGGAGATCAGTGTCATATGATCATAAAGAAAGGGCTTGTGCTTAGTTGTTCAGTACTTGTGCTGTCATATGATTTATGTCTTAACGTAATCAATTGATTGTGTCTGCGAATGCCTCCCTGTTTTTGTTCTTACAGGCTTCTATTCGCTTTTATGCATCTATAAAAAAGCACAGACCATTATATGTAGTACAGGAGCCTCTTATATTCCTAATGGTGTACTTAAAATTCAAATGTAGTCAAGAGGCAGGCTTAATACTCCATCCAGGAAACGAGTAAACAAGCTATTAGGAAATATTCTGTAGATGTCTGGTTTCTTAGTTATTTATAATGATTTATTTTGACAAATGACTTTCACCCGTGGACCTGACTCTGATCGTTTACTCTCCTCCATTTAGAATTCAGAAGCATGGAACAACCTCTCCACGGCCTACATCAAACTGAGAATGAAGTGAGTATATGTGTAAGCGCTAAGAATAAAGGCTACATCAACAAAGCTTTGTTTTGCTGGTGTTTTAATCCAATAAGAGCATTTATTTTTTGTTCAACAGTGGTATTTGGAATAAAGACCGTAATAAGCAGCCAGTTAAGCTTTCCTTCAGTATTTTGGATGGGCTATGATTTCAAAGGCAGCAGACAAGGAGAAATATGTACATTTTATCATTTTAAGAGTCCTCCAAAAAAAACAAGCACTAGTAAAACTATTTTTGAATTTTGACAGTTTTCACGGTCTGTTGAAGATTGTCTCACGCATATTGTCTTTTGCTGGCCGTATATAATAAAGTAATCATGATTTGTTTGGGGGGGGGGGACATACAATGCCATTCAAAAGTTTAGGGTAAATAAGATTCTTTTGGAAATAAATTTAATTCAGCAAGGATGCATGAGGGATCATGTGACACTGAAGACTGGAGCAATGGCTGCTGTAAATTCAGCTTTGCCATTACCAGGAACAAATCACAATATTACAGTTGTAATATTTCACAGTTTTACTGCTTTTACTTTATTTTTGATCAAATAAATGGTGAGTTTCAGAAACTTCTTTTAAAAACATAAAAAGAAAATCTCCAAACTTTTGAACTGTAGTGTATATAGATACATTAGTACTGCTTCTATTGATCTTTTTTCCCATCCCATGATTGTGATGGACTTCTTGACGTATGTGTGAATTTCTAAATAATAGCTAGCACTGCTCTCACACACTTATCTCTCACCCAAGTAAAAACTGTAGATAAGCCCCATTCAGGTTCCAAACAATTTTCTTTGAGAAGTTGCTAGTAAATTTCACAATTAATTACAATGAAACATCAAGTAACATCAAAACATGAAATTTTGTAGTAGGACTGACATTTTATTTTCTTCTAAAACGTACTCCAATACAATTTTGCTCTTTCATGCTTTTTCTTTTACTCCTTTCACTCTTTTTCTTTCGCTTTCATCCATTTTTATCACTTTCTTTGAGTCACTCTTTCTTTCTCTTTTGCTTTGTCGCTCTTTTTTTGCTGTTTCACTTTCTCTTTCTTTAGCTCTTTCTTGCACCAGTTTCTCTTTCTTTCGCTTTTTTATTATTATAATTTTTTTTGTTACATTCTGATCCTTCTGAAATTATTCTAATTCTAAACATTTCTTGTTATTATCAATGTTCAAAACATTGCTGCTAATTTCTTTGTGGAAATATTGATACTTTCTTCATCTTTAATGAATAGAAAGTTCAAAAGAACAGCATTTATTTGAAAAATATATAAAAATATATAAATTATTTCTTAAACATTTCTAAAGTTTTATTTCTTGCAGTGTGACTTGATTTAACGTCATTGCAACTAATTCTAGCAATTGTGATTTTACAGTAGGTACAGAAAAGAATCACCCCCCCCTTTAAAATAATCATATTTTGTTGCTTTGCAGCCTGAAATGAAGACGGACACAGTTTTTGTTTTATCCAGCTGTATTTACTCCGTGCAACTTATAGCATCCAAGTGAAAGATATAACACCAACATGTCAGAAAAAAAATAAAAGGCCAGAATCACTGAGTTAGACCACCCTTATTTATTATATATTTAGATCAGAGTTTTTATTATAAACTTTTTCACGATTACTGTCATTGCAACTAATTCTAGCAATTGTGATTTTACAGTAGGTACAGAAAAGAATCACCCCCCCCTTTAAAATAATCATATTTTGTTGCTTTGCAGCCTGAAATGAAGACGGACACAGTTTTTGTTTTATCCAGCTGTATTTACTCCGTGCAACTTATAGCATCCAAGTGAAAGATATAACACCAACATGTCAGAAAAAAAATAAAAGGCCAGAATCACTGAGTTAGACCACCCTTATTTATTATATATTTAGATCAGAGTTTTTATTATAAACTTTTTCACGATTACTTCTTTATTTTACTTGGAAAAAAACTTCCAAAAAAAGCTGATGTTCTAAAGAGCAAACAAATGTTTAGATGTTGGAAGTGTTGGGGTTAACGGTCACAGGGGCACAGATATGTTCCCATTTCATGATAGCGTCCCAAAGCTGCTTTCACGCACACAACCATGTTTTGTAACGCTTTGCCTTCTAGATAGGTTTTAAATTAGTAGGCTGTACACCTATACATTATCCCTCATTACATTGTCACTTCTAACTTCATTTCCCGTTTTCCCCCCCAGTTTTCAATTTTTCAGATTGTTCCTTTACGTCTGCTGAGCGGCTAGTAGCTCATCAATTAAAAGTTGTGATGTGAAAGCACAGAAGTTGAAAAGGTCATCGCTAGCATTCGCCTCCAGCCCCAGTGAGAGTTTCAGACGGTAATTGGGATCTGGGCGCTTGGCTGGACTCAAAATCATCACTCACTCTCTACTGTTCATTTTTTCTCACTTCATCATCTCTCTCTCCATACAGAAACCCTTCAGATGCGTGTTAGTGGCAAATTAGATGAGAGCAACTGTTAATAAGGGAAATGCTGTGCATGTGTGCGAACATCTTGGTATACAGTCATAAGACCAGGCTCTCTGTCTTTGATCCCACCCATTAATTCACATTCCACAGAGACAGAGAAAAGAGAGACCATCCTTCCTCATCCCGAGATAAAAAAAAAAAGATGGATCAAGTATCCTCTTCTCTCTCTCTCTCTCTCTCTCAGTACCATTCTTCATTCCCTCGTTTCTCCCAGGAGAATATTACCACTCTCCTTAATTTCACGCTGTAAGGGGATCGTGCAGGAATTACACCCACACACCCATTCAATTTCCCCTTAAACATATCACTTCCCCCATCATGAGGGGGCGGAGTCTTATCCAGTTATAGCCCTTTTAGTCATTTCACATGTTCCACATCACCGGTGGACAGTCACAGATACCATCCTGACTATTTTGTTATTAGTTTTATTTTAGATTTTTAATGTGTGTATAATTTTAAAATTGATGGATTAATGGGTGCAAAAATAGGGTTGTTTTAATTTAAAAAAAAAAAAAAAATTTCATGTATAACACATTTTGTTATCTAAACATGAGCAATAAAAAGCAAACTCACAATATCTAAAACTTTTCCTGCCCTAAAATGCATAAATTAGTAAATAAAATGCTACCTAGGTCTCTCATGCTTACTAAGGCAACATTCATTTGATCAAAATAGTTAACAACTTTACTACTGTGAAATATTATTACAATTAAAATAACTTTTTTCTGTTTTTAAATATTTTAAAAAT